GCTCTGCTGACCCACCCACATCCCTGATACCAAGTCCCTTTGTCTGAGTCCCCGCTCGAACTCCTGTTTCTCCCTCTGGAAGTCCTGAATATACTTCATCTTCTTCTTCTCAGGTAGTTCCTTGTATTTCTTGGACAGAATCTTGGTCAGGTCCAGGTTGCTCATCTCAGGGTGAAGTTTAGCATATTTGGCCCGCTTTTCCATGAAGAAGCGGAAATAAGGGGTCAGGGGCTTCTTTGGGAAGTCTGGGTGTTTCTGAAACGAGGGATAAGGACACAGTGAAGGTCAGACACCATCCATTCTTTGGACCATGCCTCTCCTACCCCTGTGCTCCTCCTCCTGGAAACTCACCTTGAGTTTTTTGCCTTTGTAAGGATTTTTAACATGTTCCTGAGCATCGAGGATCAGTTCTGTCAATGTACGGAACTTTCTCACCTGGAAGAAGAAGGGAGGTGAGTGGAAGGGGAAGTTTAGAAGAGGGGACACTACCCAGTAACATACACCCATTTCCCAACCGGTTTCCTCTACTTTCCATTAGACTGAACTTATCAAAAGAGGAGGGGCAGAGGCCAACAGTCACAACTCAGGTGGCTCCTGACATCAAGGCAGACACCCGGGCACTGGCTCATGCCTACTGCAGAGGCCCAGGCAGTGAGACACACCAAAGGACAGCAACAAGGTGACCACATGACATCAATGTGGTTGTCTATGCCAGCACCCCCAGAAGAGCTCAGGAAACAGAAGCTCCAAGATGGTAAGTATTCAAGGCCACAAAGCTAGAAACTGGCAGGACTGAGAACTCTAGGCCAGTGCTGTCGACTGTACCAACTCCCAAAATGCACCCGGTCTCTTGCCTTCCTGTTTATAGACTTCTGTTTCATCTTCCACGCCAGGAAAGTTAAGGCAGGGGTCCCTATAGATGTGTGCTCCTGTGTGTCAGGAACCGGGGGGCGGGGATCAGTTACCTCATTAGAAATCTCCACCCATTTGAGCTTGCACATGTCTCCAGAAAAGTCTTTAAATGCTACTTTTTCCCAGTCCATATGCGACTCAGTGGTTTTGAACTTGGAACTGTCATTGGATGGAAGGTTGTTCTTCATGCATTCTAGCAAAGTCAGCATGTCTTCCTGAGACCAGTGGTCTGGAGAGGGGTAAGAAAGGTGATCATGACTGGCTCATGCTATCCCTCCCATCAATTCCCCAGTCCCTGTGTGCTCAACTCTTCCTCCTCAGAGCTTCCTAGTCCCTGGTTACTTCCCGTCTGAAGACAGACAAAACACGGCCTAGCCCTAAGGAGAAACTGTGGCCATATGAATTAGAGCAGGGATGCCCATCCAGACAGTGTCATACCTAGAAAGCCAGACTTGAGTGCCACAAGGTACTATTTATTGTAGGGAAGGAGGAAATGAAGCTACTGTGATTGGGGCCCTGTGGGAAAACAGATAGCTTATCAGAGAGGGGAGGGAAGCAAGAGGCAACATTTCCAAAAGTGTCGCCAAGTTCAAGTCCAAATTCTAGGCAGACACCCTAAGTGGTGGGATGTGGGTAGTAAGGAAACCCAATGCAATGTTTCTCTCCAGCACAGCAGGAAACGAACATTAGAGAAATGGGTATTCCATCATCCCCCTCCCTCTTGGCCTCTGAAGGAAGATCTAAGGAGAATTTGGGGCAAGTAAGAAAAACTGAATGGAAATGGTAATTTTGTTTCCATAAAGGAAAGCTTTAATGCAAGACAGGCAGGAAGGTGGGCAAAGGCTCTCAGGGCCCTGCTCCAGGGAGGACCCCCTCCCCTCCCGAATTCTGAGTTGTCTTCTCAGCCTAACTCCCATGTGGGCATCAAAGGGGTCTGGGCCAGTCACTGAAATGCAGCTGCAGTGAGGCCTACCCTAGAGGGTGAGCCGGGAGAACAGCTATCTAAGGCTCCTCATTTGCATTGACATCTGGTAACCTGGGCCTGGGTTTCTGTAGGGCAGGTCACATAAACCCATAGTCCTCTCTCCTCTCCATGGCCCACAAGCCTGGCCAGATGCTCAGCTCCACCTTACCCCCACCCCCACACACACTGGAGCCCTACTGGTTGGGGTAGGCGCTAGTGATAAAAATAACTTCCTGGGTGTAGGGTCTCAAACCATCCACACACCCTTTCCGAGTACCTCACCAAGAAACTCGTCCTCTTAGTAATAAAAAACCCTGAAAATCCTTCCCAACCCCTGTCTTCTCCCCCTGCCTCCACATTCCTCAGCCTTCCTCCCATTCCTGGGGGTGGACACATCCCGGGCTGACTGGGAACTCCAGAAGGAAGGCTTACAGGGACCTCCTTCTCTCCCTGTCACGCGAGGGGGAGGGGGAATATGGAGTGTGAAAAATACAAGGCTTAATAATTCGGACTGAGCCAAACCCCCCGCGTGAGGGACGCTTGACTCTTACAGACACCCTTCCCTTATCTCAACTCAGAGAATGCAGAGTGGAGAAACCCTGCGGAAGGGGAGTGGGCCCTGGAGACAGCCATGTGGGGAAAGAGGATTTAAGTTCAAGAGGACTAAGGATGGGGGCTCCTTCCTACCTTGGCCTTTGGGGGCGGCCATTTCCAGGTCTGTGGGGCAGTCTGCTTCTCCGTTCATTCTCCAGCCGTCCAGCCCAGCCACCTCCAGCCGCCTCCTCGGTCACGCTGGCCGGGCAATCCGGGTTCAGAGCCACCTCACCCTTTAGAAGAGAGATCAGCCTCTACTCAGGCGGGCAGAGAGGTGGAGGGAGTTCCTATTCCTCCCTCCCCGAGAGGGGAGGGGGGCAAACGTCCCCACTCTCAGCGAGACCCTCCGGACCCTAGTCGATGTGATGGGTAGGTGGGTGTGAGAGGACTGCCCTCCTCTTCCCCGTACCCCCACCCCCAGCCCTTGCAGCCAGGCTCAGCGGCGTGCGCCCTCCCCTGCCCACGCGAGAGACTGCTCGCAGCTCCCAGCTCCCGCGTGC